TCCCAGAGGAAGTGGCTGAGATAATAGCACCAATATTTCTTGCTAGTTTCTTCAGTGATCAGCCTGAGCCTCAGTCCATGTGCGTTTGCTCGAGCAGCGCATGAGTAATGACTGAGTAAGTAGGGGAGAGGAGGGTGGGCATGCATCCAAGCAGAGGCAAATGTGCTCCTTGGGGGCACTTTGGCTCGTAATTGCCACGGTAGCCCTTAGCAGAGGATGCCAGGCTCCAGCCAAGTTTGCTCAGCTGTTGTGTAAGAAAGCTCAAAGCAGACAGGTTTTAAGGGAGAAAAAATAGGGCAAGAGATTGGAACATGCTCGTGTCGAGGGCGAAGCAAGAAGCCCCTCCAAGCAAGAAGCAGGCAGCTTGGGAGGACATCCAGTTGGGCCCAAGGAGGGAGGCTGGGGTCTATCCACCCGTGTAAGCCCTGGAAAGGTTTGGCCCCAAGGACTTGCAGCAGGAGAGCCCTGTGCATATGGCTTCAAGTTCCATGCCCAAGGGGCCAGGGGGGTGATTCCTCCCAGGGATTCATCTGCAAGGCAAAAGTGTGCCAGACTGAGGAAGCAGAAGAGGGTGAGATGGCCGTGTAACAGGATGCTGGGCCCAAGACTTTCTCTTTTCATTGACAGGACCTGGAATGCTATTTATAACTCAGGAGGCTGTCTGAGCCTTCGTTCGAGGTGGCAGTGATCCAGGCTGCTCCGCCAGTGAACCTTCTCCCCTCTTTTACACACGCTGAAGGAGGATGTGCCAGGGCCACATTCGACTTTCAGGGTCATGCCAGGCTCCCTGCTGAGTGCCATGGAATTGATGAATCTTAGGAAGCAAAGTCCAAGTACTCTGTGAATGAAGTTGGCAAATGAGGCACTTGGACGTTAACCTATGACAGAATGCCTTGGCAAACTGAAGTCAGCCCCTTTATCATATGCACAATGATACAGATATTACTTAAGTGAGAACTGACCAACCGACTTTTTTTTCTTTTTTTCTTTTCCCCTCATTTTCCGTGTCTTTAGGCATTGCATCTACAGCAGAGAAAAGACAAATCCTGCTCATGTGCTGCAGCCCTGAGACAGAGTAAGGTCGGAGCTGCATGAAAAGACAACAGCCAGGGAGCTCTAGGGCTATGGCTCAGTCATCATTTGGGGGCAACCTGGAACCTTGATCTAGAACCTTCCTTTCCACCTCAGATTTGAGTTTCCTTCCCATGGTCTCTGTTCAGGCCTGAACAGAAACTGACTGTGTATGAACGGACCTTTTCCAAAGCTACAGGAGGCAGCAAGACAAAACTAAGTTTGTTTTGTGAAAATGTCCAAAGACATGTTCATAAGATAGAAGTTTTCCTCCCTGCTCATCTGACAATTTCAAGCTAAGTGATGGAACTACAGTTTCTCCACCAAATTTTCTTCTCCTTTTTTGCTACTATTAAAATGAAGCATTTACCCTGGCATTTCCAAGTAATTTTTTTTTTCTAATTGAGCCTGAAGACCATATGTAGCTTTGAAAATTTCAGCCCAAGAAGCCGTTCTTGGCAAACTCCTTAGCAACTGAAAATAGAGGCTTTCAATAGGGGAAAAGTTGAATGACCTGAGTGTAATTGGCTGTGTTACCTGTACTGTTTGGAAACCAAACATGGCATATCCAACGGCTGACTCACTACACATTCCCTTTCTCCTCACATCTCTAACCAGTGGCTCTATTTCACTGACTGACAGAAGCAGGGGATTTGGCTCAGCATGTTTCAGATTTGTCAAAGCATTTAACTGACTTCCTCCTGCCCCTCCCGCTTCTTTAAAGAAAAATGAGCAGTTTGGCATAAGTCAATGCAGCTTCGAAACCTTTTCTTAAAGCATTTCCCTGGAAGTGGCTCAGAACTGCTGGTGGCCATGACAAAAGAAAAAGAGCCCTTTTTTTTAGCATCCGTGACCTATTTCTGCCAGCTGGGGCTGGTATCTGTGGGATGGTGAAGTATGACACTCCTCAGTGTACAAAGGACATAACAAAGGGTGAAGGCTGCAACGTGAAAACGGGAAGACTCCAGCTGGACGTGAGGGAGGCACTGCCCTGAAACGGGTCTGTGGAGAGAGAGCCCCAACCATCACTGGAGATCCTAAGCTTCAGCTGGACAGAGCCCTCCCAGTCCCACTCTGGTGCTGGGATTCACTGTGTCTGGGGCCGGGTGGGAGCCTGGAGACCTCCAGTGGTCCCTTCCCACCACGTTCCTGGAGCAGGCCAGGCCAGCGTACTCCCTTGGCACAGTAACACATCTCCTGTGCTTTTCCTAGAGGGAAACTGAGATGGCAGACTTGCCTGTGTATCAGAGCTGTTTCTAAAGCACAACCCAGCTAAACGTTGCTTGGCTTCTCCTCAGAGATAACATCCTCCAAGAGCCATATATTCCAAGGCCCAGGTCTCCTGCAGAAGTATTACCAGTAAAACTTCTACTGACTGCGAAGGGAGCCGAAGTAGGCCAACACTCTTGGAAACCTCCCCACTACGAGATGTTCTGGACCAAGCTGATCTGCTCACGCATCACTTAGATGAGAGATTTTCTGAGCAGGGAGGCGTGAGCTCTGCCGCGCGGCCCCGAGGGGCAGGGTGCTGGGCTGCAGGACGCCAGCTCCCCATGGATGCAGAGAGAAGAGTGCCACCTGCTGAGCCACTGCCACCCGCAGCCACCCAGCTTCACGGCAGGCCACCCGGCCGGGCTGGCAGCCCCTTCCCAGCTGTGGCTGCAAACCACGGGCCGCCTTGCCCCCCTGTACCAGCCCTGAACAAGTTCAGCCTAACCTGGGCTCACGGAGCAGCTCACAACACTGTGCATGCACGGGGTCGGTGACAACTTTTTCTCTTCGTCTTCTGCCGCTTTCTTGGTTTAAAGTGCCACATGCACTTAGCGGCCACATCGGAGCAAAGGTTTCTCTCTGCAGCTCTGTCTCCTTCTCCCAGGCTCTGGAAATCATCCCGAAGATGAATTCAGTAGCATGTCTCTTAATGGAGGGCAGCACATCATCTGTCTGCCTGTAGCCCTGGGGGTGTGAGACCACGTTGGCAGGGAGGATCCAGCGCTGTGATTCAGATGGGGTTTCCCAGCTCTGTGGTGAACCTCACCGAGTTTTGCTGAATCCACATCCATGTGCTCTCCTTTCTCTATGACTTCAGCTAGTACCAGCTTTGGGTGGCAGCCGCTCTTGCTTTTTTTTGGTCTTACCAAAAAAAGAGCTGCCCTGCTCTCTCCTGCTGCTGAGTGTCCAGCAAAAGGCTCATCCCATCCCAGCCACGCTGGGATGTGATTCACAGAGGCAAAGTGACCCCAGCCCTGACAGCTGCATGGCACTGACAGAGCACATGTGGGCATCGTGCCCTCCAGAGCAGTCCGCCTGCCAACTGCAAGCTCTTTATTCACTCTTTACTTTTCTCTTTACTTTTGATAAAACCTCAGAGAAATGCGTGAGGGAAAGGAAGTGGCTGAAATACCTGCCCATTAATTTTCTTCACTGACATCAAATGTTTGTTTTTTAAGGACGGGTGGAGCTGACTTGGGTGTTTGAACATGAGTTATCCTTTCTCATCCATCTACTTGAGAACAGGTGGAAAAGGATAATGACTCAAACTGATCTGGTGTCTGTCTGGGCAGCTCACCAGACTTTCACTTATGATCTGCAGATGCCAGTATCTTCTATCAGCAGCTACCTCCTAGACAGGGAGAAAGCTTTGAAGTCAGGCGTGTGTGACTCCAATGCCTGCTGATGTAAATATAAATTACTATAATAAAGAGGATGCAGATGCCTGGCTTCATGGAGGGAAGGATGGAAGAGGAAAGGTCTAAATACTTCTTAAAATCAATACTGATATTGCTAGTACCTGAGGTATGCAGGGGTTGAAGTGACCATACATGTCTGCTCTGAGAGCTTTCAACAGACAAGTTTTTCTAAATGGCAACAGTCTCACTCCACTCCACTCCTTTCCCATAGGCTGAAGCATGAATTGCATGAGTGAAACCCGTCCAGAAAGGGAATAATTTACATACCTGTACTGCATCACTGCATCAACTGTTCATCCAAGTGGCATATATTTTCACTCCACATCTGACTGCAAAATCTTTTGGAGCATATCTACAAAGAACAGCAAAAAGGTCAGAAAATATAAGCATTCATGACTGCAAGATCTGCACTCCTCTCTCATACCAAAATGAAAAAGAGATCCCCAGAAAATCTAAGGGTTGTGTTTTCCTTCAGCACAAACTCCCATGACCTGGGAGGCATCCAGGATGAGGATTTGGCCCCACCAGTGTAAGCTACA